GACGAGGAAGGCCTCATCGCCTGCATTTGGGATGCTGTGGAGTCAGGTGAGATGAGAACAGACCAGCTCAATAGTCCAGTGCGCTGGCCTTGAGCCACCTCAGTGCCACGGGGGGTTGGTGGCCATGTTGGAATGGTGGAATGGTTGCAGAGTGAGAAGGAGATGAGGGAGCAGAAGACAGGCAGGGTCAACAACATTTGTTTTTTTGGATAAGTTGGGTTATGAGTGGAAAGAGAAGAAATGGGGTGGTTGCTAGAGGGGATGTGACCTCCAGGGAAGGCTACACTGTTTCTGTAAGATGGGAACCACAGGTGTGATCTCTGTTTTGGTAGCATTTTAGTCTATAGAATGGGTGTAGCCTAACATGCGCACGCTCGCACGCGCACGCACGCACACACACACACACACACACCAGTTGCCGTGGACTCGGTTCTGACTTATGGCGACCCCATGTGTGCCAGAGTAGAACTGTGCTCTATAGGGCTTTTAATGGTGCATCTTTCAGAAGTAGATTGCCAGGCGTTTCTTCTGAGGTGCCTCTGGGTGGACTCAAACCTCCAACCTTTCAGTTAGCAGCTGAAGTTGTTAATTGTTTTACACCACCCAGGGATTCTGTAGGCTAATATACTGAGGCTGAAGTAAGACGGGTTATTTCTCCCCCGTGTGATGTGACAATCCAGAGCAGGTGGGCTGTGCTCCATGAGGTCATGAAGAGACCTAGACAGGAAGGAGTAGCCGTGGCATCCCCCCGAATGTGGCATGTCCACGTCTGGGTCTGAGGCGACATACTTCAGTTACAGTTCTTTCCAGCTGGTTGGCAAGAAAAATCTAGGGCAGTTGGCTCTGTCTTTACGAAGATGCCTGAACAGTGAATACGTTTTCTGTCATCTCATTGGCCCAGACTTCATCATATGAGTGCACCTCGTTGGCTTGGATGGAAGGGTACCAGCAGTAAAATTGGCAGTTGTGTTATTAGTAGGTAGTATTATTTGTATTGATAGTCTGCCGCAGACTGAGCTTCTCGGGGTGCAGAGGGGAGTTACGGCATGTTAGTCTCTTTCTAAACCATGAGCCAGACTTGGCTGGTATTTGGTCCTCAGTAAGTGTTTGGTGAACTGAATTAGCAATTATGAACTAATCCTCTGCCTCCCAGAAGGTGGGATTCAGTTGTAAGCGCTGAATTCCGCCATGCCTCCACCTTCCTCCTCCCCACAGTTTTCTCTCGCTCTGCACGCTGCCTTACAGATAGGCATGCAGAGGAGACTATAATATTTACCTTCAGGATTTGCTTGAAAGCCTAAAATGTAATGTAAGAAGAAGAAAACGGAATTTGTTAGTTTTATTTGGATCACTGTCTTGCTCTCTTTGGACTTGATATTTACATATGTTTTTGGGCAGCTGAGCACATGCCAAGTTGATATGTCTTTTATTCAGCCGAGGAAGGTAGCTGGTGTTCACGAAAAGTAACCCTAAATAGCATGGGTATAGCATTCAGTGTATAACAGGTTGGTATTTTTAATGTGCCTTTTCTCTTCAAATTATTAGACATGCTCCAGTGTGTATTATGAAGATAGGAACTAAATGGTTTTCTCACTTTGGAGTTACGGTTTTATTTTGCACCGTTCTGTATTATACCAGTGGGTGTGTCATTTACACGACTCCTTTGCTCATTATATTTTACCATAAAATTGCAATTGGAAAAGGAAACAATATGATAGCTGAGATACTGGGTTTTGAGATGTTGACCCCACATCCTTAAGATCAGAAATTACTTCAGATGACACAGTACCCACTGGCATAGTATTTCTCTTGTTGCTTAGAGCGAAAACAACAAAACATGGTGGCATGTATATTAGTTGGGGGAGGGGGAACAACAGCAGGAAATAAATAAGAACTCCTTTAGATATTGTAGGAGTTTCTTAGGGCTGCCATAAAAGTTACCACAAACTGAGTCACCTAAAACAACAGAAATGTATTCTTTCATAGTTCTGGAGGCTAGATGTCCAAACTAAGGTGTCAGCAGGGCCATGCTGCCTCTCTGAAGGCCTTAGGGATGAGTTCCTCCTTGCCTCTTCCTGACTTCATAGTTGCCAGCAGTTCTTAGCGTTACTTGGTTTGAAGCTACATCACTCCACTCTCTGCCTCCATCTTCATGTGGGCTTGCCCGTGTGTGTCTGTCTGTCTTCACATGGCCTTGCCTGTGTGTGTGTGTGTGTCTCTGTCTTCACGTGGCCTTGCCGTGTGTATGTCTCTGTGTCTTCACGTGGCCTTGCCCGTGTATGTGTCTCTGTGTCTTCATGTGGCCTTGCCATGTGTGTCTCTGTGTCTTCACATGGCCTTGCCATGTGTGTCTCTGTGTCTTCACGTGGCCTTGCCCATGTGTGTATCTCTCTGTCTTCACGTGGCCTTGCCCATGTGTGTCTCTGTGTCTTCACGTGGCCTTGCCATGTGTGTCTCTGTGTCTTCACGTGGCCTTGCCCGTGTGTGT